TCGGCCATTTCTGACCGTTGAACCCAGCTTCCATTACAAGCATTTTTGTGTCCTCCCGAACTTTGTCGAATAGGTCAATAAGTCTCACCGACATGACATTGGCCAAATGAGGAGACAATCTTGTACCAGCCGGATCTCGATAATGGGTCATATTTCTCTCTAAAGATGGCATAACAGAAGAAAGTGTGAGGCTTATTTTGAACCCCGTTTTTATGCCCCACTTTCTTACTAATTCGCATATCTTTTTTGAGAGAAGGCATGACGGCAAAATTAGGACATGGGAAAAGGTCTCAGTCTGTCCATCCTTGACTAAATGGTCTCCGTCTGAAAATGTATCCCACAATAGCGAGATTTTATTAACAATAAGGCCCAAAGGAGAATTATTTTCCATGAATACATTTGTCAGCGTTCCAATTCCGTTGAGATCGACCTACGAATCTCTTATTCATGCACTTTCATACAAAATGAAATTCCAACTAACAATATTATCTCAAGAGATTCATCGGACCCCAGTTTCTCTTCGTAATTGAACCTAGTCATCGTATCAAGCCTCCCTGTTCAACCGATCAGAGAGTGACACTCAAAGTAGATAGGATTTCGTATGAAAGTGCATGAAGAAGAGATTCTTAGATTGATCTCACCAGAAGACAATGGCTGGGTTCCGTTGTACGGCAATTGTTCGGCTTCAATAAGATGTTCCGGTTGACGCCGTCCACGAGACATTCTCCCTCGCTTCGGGTAAAGACGGGCGGAGGTTTCGTCCATAATTCGATGGACATCATCAGAGCTGGAAGCCATTCTTGTAAAAGTCTCACGTTAACACTACGTCTAGAAGATTATTCGGCTCTGGCTTAGCTGATATCGCCGTAGTGATAACGTAAGACTTTTACAAGAATGGCTTCCAGCTCTGATGATGTCCTTCGAATTATGAACAAAACTTTAGCCCGTCTTCACGCGAAGCGAGGGAGAATGTCTCGTGGACGGCGTCAATTTGAACATCTTTTGAAGCCGAACAATTGCCGTACAACGGAACTCAGCCATTGTCTTCTGGTGAGATCAATCTAAGAATCTCTTCTTCATGCACTTTCATACGAAATCCTATCTACTCTGAGTGTCACTCTCTGATTGGTTGAACAGGGAGGCTTGATACGATGACTAGGTTCAATTACGAAGAGAAACTGGGGTTGGATGAATCTCTTGAGATTACTTTGTTGGAGGGACTTTCATTTCGTATGGAAGTGCATGAATAAGAGATTCGTAGGTCTATCTCAACGGAGTTGGAATGCTGACAAATTTATTCATGGAAAAGAATTCTCCTCTGGGCTACAACAATGCGTTTCAGCACACCAAATACCGCCGAGTGTACTAATCAGGCTTAAAAGATGCCAAAATGGCATTGCTCTTCAAAGAATATCATATAGCATCTACAGGTCTTCCATTTGTGCTACCACGGCAACACAATGGGGAATTGTCCGCCTCGACTCGACTTGTACGCTGATCTCTGCCCTATTTACTGTTCCCCAGCAAAGTGTCGTTGTCAGGGCGTAAGGGAAAAGGTGGAATTGCGATCGAATCGCCTACATTGACAATCCGAGCCAGACGACAGGATGGTAGCATTTTGAGGAACATCTTCGTAGAAAGCGTTGCAAATGCACTGGAAGCCTGGGCTTCTGTCCAGGCAGTAGGAGAAGGGCGAACAGAAGTTGGCAGCCATCGTGGAACAGTTTTGGGAACCAGAAAGACCTGAAATTAGCGGCGGGGGGGGGGCCAAAATGGAGAGCATTTGCAATATTAAATTACTGGCACAAATTCTAAATTATCAACAATTAAAGTAAACCTTAAAAGATATAAAACAAAACGGGGCTTCGAACAATTCCCAAGTGATCTATTGTGGCATGACGGTCCATTTCGAAGAATAAGTTGATTGGAAGGAATTTGTGATGTAATCTCACCAGAAGCCAAAAAAGGATTACCGCGTAGGACAGACTGTTGTGTTGTGCGAAGAAGTCCCTCTTCGCATCAGTACCCTCAGGTGGACTCGAACCCGGGCCGCGGTAGCGCAGCGTAAAATCTCGCCCGCTACGAGTGCCCTCGGGTCACAGAGCCGGACTTAATTTTATGCAAGATCAGACATTCTCTGTTGGGATTGTCGATGCATCAAAGTTGTATTTGCTATAGCAATCGACTTTATTACTTATTTTTCCCTTAAAATTAGGTCCTTGAGATAGAATGTGATACGCATAGAAGCCTGATCTTCCTTGAGATTTTCATCTTCTCTCTGACCCAAGGGCCCTCGTGGCAATAGGGCGTTTAGGTACCGCTGCGGGTGCTGATGAGATGCATTCGAGTTGCAAACTGTAATTCAGCCTCGCCTCGATGAGAATCTATTTTTTGGCGCAGGGCTGTGTGAAATGCAATGGAAACGTAGGGTCTACTCATAGCAATGTTGGCGAAATTCAACTACCAATTCTTCATCGCTTTAACGAAATGCGTATAATTCATTTCACATATTTGTGTTCGTGTGTATGCGAACAAGCGGATGCTATAGAGAATCACGCCACTGTACTGACTAGAGGAGTAGTAGAAGGTCGAGAACCTCTGAGAATCTAGCGAATGAGGGTGCATAAATTGCACTTAATTAATGGTCTCGGAAAGAAGCCCCGATCGTTTGGGCAATATCACCGCATTTGTATGCGGACATGTGCTGCATGGGGTCCAACTTCGATGGACCGTCCGAATCAGAGTGTGTTTTCTTGTGAGGCGGGCTTGACCTCCCGGTCTCATTTCATCCTACATGCGTCCGGAAGTTCGGGGTTCGGCTACATCCGATCGTGTCAAGTTCGTCTTTCAGTCGATCTGAGCCACTTTCGTAGACCAGCTGACCATGGCTAGATAGACTAAGACGTTTTACAAAATATTCGCCACTTTAGCCGAGTCTCTCGTGAAAGTCTCAAAAAGTCTCCGACGAAATGCAATTCCTGCCTCGGATGGGATGATGTCAAGCACAATTTTACTCGCAGAAATAGCTTGAGGCTATGTCTTTTGTCCTCTGTTGGCTGACTCCTAAACACGATAATAGTCATATTCATTAGTGCATTCTAGGGCTAATCAAGATAATGCGTTCAGAATATGCCTAATCATTTGATCTCTTGCTAGCCTTTAGTTTGCTATTTCGTTGCGAAGACGAGGTACTATTTGCGGGCGAGTAAGGATAGAAAGGATGAGAAAGAGAGTCCATCTCAGATGATAAATGCACGTGACCATTGAGCATACTCTGTGAAAAGACTCTGGCCTTAACAGTCCAAAATAGTTAGGCGCCGTAAGAGTATATTTCAAAACAATCAGAAATTTTAGTCATTCACGATCACTTGAGGTGATTGATTTAATGACTTGTAGTTGAGTTTTTCCATCAATGCCACGACTGCGCCTCCCGACGCCATTGACGTTCGTCAAGCCTTGCCCCAAACCACATAAGAAAATCGGGTCTTGAGCATTTTGACGAAACAAAACACTGATTGTTCAGAATAGGTTTTCTATACAAATCTTTACCCAACTCAATTGCCTCTCCATTGACCGGCAGATTAAAAAGTATATTCATTAACTTTTCTCCTTTTCGCCGTTCATGTACCAAACCGACAATTCAGTAACCAAAATGGACCTAAAATCGTTTGGATTAGTAGGGACTGCTTCGATAGTCGAGTTCTCCGTGCTCTATTCAACAAGCAAGCCTGGCCTCAATTGTCTTTAATCGGCCTGATTAAGTGGCCACCACCTCGAGTAGTATAATCAGTAGTGTCGCAACTAGGCATGAATTTGCTAAAGTTGATGTAAGGACTGATAGCTGAGTTTTTCCCACAATGTTATCACTGGGCCTCCCGATACCATTAATCTTCGCCTTGCCTCGCCAGAAGCATTTTGACGACAAAAAACAGTGATCGTTTAGAAGTCTACTCACACCGAATATAAGTAGTGTCGTTGGTCTAATAGAAAATCATATTATCAAAATGAGATTTACAAGAAAAAGAGAGAGAGAGAGAGAGAGAGAGGTGATGAGGCAACAAGCTGAGGTCGAGTCAGAACGATTGAGACGGATCGGGAGGCAGGAGCAAGTCAGCCTCAACGGAATCGTGAGGCTTGCTCGTGTCCTTCTGGAACGAACCCCGCCTCAGTCCTTAATTCACCGGAAGCGACCTAGACCGCCCAAATGCCCAGTTCAACCGGGTCCCTGAGATGGGCTGATGCCATGGAGGAGCAGTTGCAACGTGGACGAACGGAAAGAGACAACACCACTTTTGAGAACCTCTTTGCAATGCTTTGGACGTAGGCTTTGGCCGGCCGGCCGGCTGACATGTTGCTTAATTCGCCCTCTTACTCTGCACAATAATTGGGGCCAAGATGGGGTCAAGGTGATAGAAGAAGAGAGAGTCCGAGCTCATGTCTGCAGTCTGGGCCTGTAAAATGGTGGAGCCACTGGAGATTGCAGAGACGAGTTGGGCAGAAGTGAGAGTCGACGCGTCGTTGCCCAGCGTCGTGATTAGAGTTATCGCTAATACGCTGCCAGGCTGGAACTGATCCACATTGCAGGAGGCACTCTGAAGCCGAGCATCGAGTGATGCAGACATAGCCTTGTCGAGCTAAACAGAAAAAGAAGGAAAATAATGAGAGGGATAAGACGGAGGAGAACAAGGATAAAGTGGAGAAGAAGGAGGAGGAGGAGGAGAAAAGGAATAGGGAGGAGAAGAAGGAAGAGATGGACGAGAAGAAGAAGAAGTAGGAGAAGAACGAGAAGGAGAGGAAGCAGGAGGCCAAAATAAATTATTTTTCTTTCATGTATGATATGAAACTGTTTCTTGCAAGGCTACTCTAATAATCCGAAACGATTACTGGACTTTCCTGCTCGCACACACCCACAAACACACATGCATAGAGTGACATGAATATAAATTAACCAAACCAATGTTGACCTCCGAAAGTAAATTTATTTTGAGTTTGTATGGGTATCTA